CCTTCACGTGTACATAGCGCACCGGAGTGATTAATAAAGTGTTGTTGAACCGTGCTACCACAGTCTGCGCCTGAGTCCGTTCCACCACCGTGACAGAATATTCCAGCCACCGTGGACTCAGCAGATTCAGCTTCCTCCCCGTCTTCCTCTGCCCCGATCACACTGGAAGCAATCTTACAACGCCACGAGCAAATGCTTGGTTGCCTCAGCGAGAACGTCGCTGCCTTAACAATAGCAGCTGCTCAGCGCACTCCATTGCCGGAACCCTCGCCTACCAGCGAACCCGCCCAGGCATCATCAAGCTCCGCAGTAAGTCTTGCCTCACCGGTTCTAGTCCCGGCTGTGTGTGTTTCATCTCCCCACACCTGAGCTGTTTTCAGGGGATGTAGGGAAGTGTGCGGGTTTTCTTATGCAGTGCTCACTCCAGTTTCGCCAGCGGCCTCATGCCTTCTCTAATGACGGGAGTAAGATCTCATATTTTGTTCAGTTGCTACGAGATTGTGCGCTGACTTGGGCACAAGCTGTGCTGAGCGTTAGTCCCGAAATTACTTATGATGATTTTTTGTCTCTGTTTCGGAATGTTTTTGATAAGGGCTCCACTGCTGCGGCGGCTGGGCTCCGCCTCATGAATCTGAAGCAAGGTAAGCGGAGCATGGCAGATTTTTCAGTTAACTTTTGGACACTAGCGACGCAAACGGGGTGGGGGCAGGAAGCATTAAAGACGGCACTGCTAAATAATGTGAGTGAGGAGATTAAAGATGAACTGATGGTGCGTGAGTTACCCTCCTCTTTAGATGCGCTCATGTCCCTATGCATCCGAATAGACGATCACCTGCGTGCACGGCGAAGCACGCAACGTCGCTTCACTCAGCCTCGGCCACCGAGGGACGCCTCACCGGAGCCTGGAGCGGCGCGCAAGCACGGCGAGGTTGAAGAGGAGGAGCAGCCCATGCAACTTGGACGTTCGCAGCTCTCGCCCGCAGAAAGTCAACGCCGTATGGCCGCCGGTGAGTGTTTATATTGCGGCCGTAAGGGACATTTTGCCTCTTCATGCCGGGCACGGGCAAAAGGGCGCGCTCGCCAGTAGTGGAGAGAATACTGGTGGGCGATATAACGACTAAAAGTTCTCTCCCTCGGCTTATGTTACCTGCAAAACTCACCATTAAGAACATTACCCACACTCTTCAAGCTCTAGTGGATTCAGGTGCTGAGCAGAGTGTCATTGACGCGGCTCTGGCGAAAAAGCTAAACATCACACTACACGCTTTACCTGATCCACTTGCTGTCACAGCCCTATCTGGGCAACGCTTGTCGGACATAACCCAAATCACAGAACCCCTGTCTCTTACTCTCTCCGGTAACCACTCAGAGCGCATCAAGCTTTCCGTGTTTCAAGCGCCACGCACCCCCCTTGTATTGGGTTATCAATGGCTGTTCCAACACAATCCGCACATCGATTGGAAGAAAGAGAGAGTAACCGGGTGGAGCATTGACTGCTACATGAACTGTCTCCAAGCTGCACCTGCTCCAACCACGAATCAAAGGTCTGACCAGCCGGTTGAGCCTCCGGATTTGACCTCGGTCCCGCGTGTGTATCATGATTTGGCTGAAGTGTTTAGTAAAGACAGTGCACGTTCACTTCCCCCTCATAGACCGTATGACTGCGCGATTGATCTCCTGCCTGGGGCTCCGCTTCCATCTGGTTGTTTGTACAGCATTTCTCAGCCAGAGAGGGAGTCTATGGAGAATTACATTGCAGACTCTCTCGCTGCAGGCATCATTCGGCCGTCGTCCTCCCCAGTGGGAGTGGGGTTTTTCTTTGTTGCTAAGAAGGACAAGACCCTTCGCCCCTGCATCGACTATCGCGGGCTTAACAAAATCACTGTTCGTAACAAGTATCCTCTGCCCCTTCTTTCTTTGGCTTTTGAGTTACTTCAGGGCGCCACGATCTTCAGTAAGTTGGACTTGCGCAACGCCTACCACCTGGTGAGAATCCGTGAAGGAGATGAGTGGAAAACGGCCTTCAATACTCACCTGGGCCATTTCGAGTACCTTGTGATGCCGTTCGGCCTGACCAACGCCCCGCCGTGTTCCAGGCTCTTGTTAATGATGTTCTCAGAGACTTTATTAACCGATGTGCTTTTGTCTACTTAGATGACATTCTCGTCTTCTCCAAATCCAAAGCGGAACACGAGGTCCATGTGCAGCAGATTCTGCAGCGCCTACTGGAAAATAGGCTCTTTGTTAAGGCAGAGAAATGTGACTTCCACATGGATTCAGTGGCGTTTCTGGGCTACATCTTCACCCCAGGGGATTTGAAACCTGACCCAGCAAAAGTTCAGGACTGGCCCAAACCACCCAATCGCCGGCAGCTTCAGCGCTTTCTGGGGTTTGCTAACTTCTACAGACGTTTCATCAGGGATTTTAGTAAAGTTGCTCTGCCTCTCTCTAGGTTAACGTCACCCAAGGTGCCATTCCAATGGGACCGGCTGGCTCAGGAAGCCTTCTCCCACCTCAAGGAACAGTTCGCCACCGCCCCGATCCTTCGCCAGCCAGACCTCTCCCTGCAGTTCGTCGTGGAGGTGGATGCATCGAAGTCTGGAATAGGGGCCGTGCTCTCCCAACAGTTCGAGGGTAAGCTCCAGCCCTGTGCCTTTTTCTCTCGTCGTCTTTCCCCAGCCGAGAGGAATTATGACATCGGAGACTGCGAACTTCTGGCTGTAAAGCTGGCTCTGGAGCAGTGGAGACACTGGCTGGAGGGGGCCGCACAGCCGTTCATTGTATGGACTGATCATAAAAACCTTGAATACATCCGCTCGGTGAAACGGCTCAACTCACGGCAGGCCAGGTGGGCTTTGTTTTTCCCCCGGTTTAATTTCACCATCATTTACAGGCCAGGCTCCCGAAACGTTAAACCAGACGCTCTTTCCCGGCAATTCGCCCCAGTTGGAGACAAGTGTGTGATCATGTATGAGTTGTATAGTTTTAATGTTTTATTTGGGAACAGAATGGTGTGTATGTGTAAGTTTGGTGATGGAGTTTTTATTATGAATGAATGATGAATTTTTATGAATTATTATGTCTATTTTTATGCTTAAGGACAACAGATGGAAATTAGCCCTTGGCTATAATCTGGTATGTTTACATTCATGTAATATGTAATCTTTTTTTTTACATTTATGTTCATTAACATGCACCGTCCTAAATAAATAAATAAAATAAATAAAATAAGCCCGACCCTGGATCTGTTCTGCCTACTTCCTGTGTTATTGGAGCCGTTACGTGGGAGATTGAAGAGCTCATCCGGGAGGCACAAGAAACCGACCCTGATCCTGGCACGGGCCCCCCTGATCGACTCTTTGTTCCGGCGGCTGTCCGGTCCCGAGTGCTCCAGTGGGCTCACACAGCCCGTTTTTCCTGCAATCCAGGAGTTAACCACACCACTGCATTCCTGCGCAGGTATTTCTGGTGGCCGGCCCTCATTAAAGACTCACGGAAGTACGTAACCGCCTGCACCACTTGTGCTCAAAATAAGCACTCCAATCAACACCCGTCTGGACGTCTGCAGCCACTCTCCACACCCAGCCGACCCTGGTCCCACATCTCTCTGGATTTTGTCACTGGTCTGCCACCATCTGCAGGTAACACTACAATATTGACCATCGTTGACCGTTTCTCCAAAGCTGCCCATTTCATTATGCTTCCTAAGCTCCCTACAGCCTTGGAGACTGCCCGACTCCTCACCACACAGGTTTTTCGGCTCCATGGCATCCCTGAGGACGTTGTCTCGGACCGGGGCCCTCAGTTCACGTCGCGGGTGTGGAAGGAATTCTGCTCTGCCATAGGAACCAAGGTGAGCCTCTCCTCTGGCTTCCACCCGCAAAGCAACGGCCAAACGAAGTGCATCAACCAAGAGTTGGAGGCCGCCCTCCGCTGTGTCGGCTCTCATAACCAGGCCATCTGGAGCGAACACCTGCCATGGATAGAGTATGCTCACAACAGTCACACATCCTCTGCTACCGGCGTGTCACCCTTCGAGGCGTCTCTGGGATACCAACCACCTCTGTTTCCCATGGTTGAAAGTGAGCATACTGTTCCGTCTGTCCAACATCACCTCCGCAGGTGTCGCAGGGCCTGGCGGGCCGCTCAGGCGGCTTTACTCTGGACGAAGGAACGGAATAAGGCACTCGCGGATCGCCACCGGACAGCCGCCCCTAAGTATGTGGTGGGGCAGAAGGTATGGCTCTCCACTCGATTCGTGCCCTTACGTGCCGATCTAAGAAACTCTCCCCCGCCTTCATCGGCCCGTTTGAAATCAGTGCTGTGATCAACCCTGCATCCGTCTGATTGGCACTGCCACGCAACATGCATGTTCATGATGTATTCCATGTCTCTCAGGTCAAGCCAGTGGTCTCCAGCCCGTTGTGCCCTCCTTCCAGGCCCCCGCCACCCCCCTGGCTCGTGGATGGCCAGCTGGTGTACTCGGTCTTGCGCATCATGGACTCCCGCCACTCCCGGGGATTTCAGTAACTGGTTGACTGGGAGGGCTACGGGCCAGAGGAGCATTCCTGGATGCCCCGGTCGGCTGTCGTGGGTAGGGGTCTGCTCCGGGACTTCCACCGCCTGCACCCGGGTAAGCCTGG